TCTGGATGGACCCCCTCCCCTTTTTCCCTCTCTCCACGCCAAGCTGTGAACATTAAAATTTATAGCTATCAATACCGTGATCTCGCCTGCCGTTTCTGCCCTGATGATTCCTTGAAGCCTAGCATGTTAGTTTTCAATTTAGAGGTTTGGACTCTCAAGTTCTCAAATTTTCTGGAACGTTCTTGGGACTAAAGTGCCGCTTTAAAAAACGGAGACAGGATTTCTTCATTCATACAGATTTTTCAGTTCTCTTGCTTTATCTGGAACTAAAAAAATTATACTGGTAACAACATAAATACTACAAAATATGCACATTTTTGTTTTAATGTGTGTATATGATGGTTCGATTTGTGCCACAACATTGCCTTTGGCCGGTCTCGAATTGGACACTGTTGTCCGCTGCGCCCTTTATGAGTTACCGATTTCGTGTCTTATTTTGTGTAGCAGAGTGTTGAAATCAGGCGCTCGTCGAAATGCTGACATCGAAATCGAAGTAACAGGCTTTTTTCCGCCCGTTAGACAATTTTTATCGATTTATTTTTTTAAATTTTTTTTAATTTTTTTTTTTTTTTTTTTTTGGGGGGGGGGGGGGCAATTTCTTCAATGTCCACTTAAAAACACATTTCTGAGTGGATTGAACCGACAAATGTTGATCAAAGGCCCACAAACTTATAAATTTGCAGTTATAGACGGATACTCAAGCTTTGAAAGTCACCAAGCTTTGACGGCCATGTTCCCTGTAATTTTACCTCTGACATGAGGCGACCCATATCCCCTTCAATCGCGAACATAATTTCAATTTCTGTTCAGGATAAACTGACATTTTTTCATCGGCAGTAGGACTAAATTAAAGGAGCGTTAGGATTATACCAACAGCTCTATATTAAATACGCCCCAAATTTGAGGAGTGCCTAATTCCACCGTGTCCTGGGACAGTTATACTGATGCACGCAAGAATTGTTTCGTGTAACATGAAGCACGCCCGGATAGCACCACTTTTGAGGATTTTATTTTAAATCTATTTATTATTTATTTGACTGTTTTTGTTTGTTGGCGTTGTTTGTTTGTTGTTTTGTTTTGTTTGTTTGTTGTAGTTTTTGTTGTTTTTTTGGCTTATTTATTTGGTTGGGAGAGGGGGCTGTTTATTGTTTTAGTTTATTTCTTCTTTGTTTAGTTTTTTTGTGGCGGAGGTGACAGCTAGGGGTGGGATAGTGGGTGGGGTTGGGTGGTATTGTATCTTATTTTATTGTTTGCTTGCTTTTTTTGTTGTTGCTTATTTGAAAGAAACAGAGACATACGTTGAGGCCAGCACCTGGCAACATGCCCTGCCGTGGGCGGACCCCGAGCTTTCATTCAGACGACCTGACTAGCAGCCAAGATCTATAGTGGTCTCTGTGATTTTTAACCCGCTGATATCGAGCCCTTGAATTCTAAACTAATGAACGCACAAAAATCCTTTGAGAATTTCGTATTGATCAGGTGGCTGTGGGTGAGCTTCACTACAAAGAAAAGATAAGATAAGATAAGATAAGGTAAGATAAGATAAGACAAATTATTACGGTCAAATGTTAGCACATTTGTTTGGTTTTTCACTACACACACACACACACACACACACACACACACACACACACACACACACA